AACCTACGATCTTACTTCTCACGCGCGTTTATCAGTTAACGTTAATCGTCGCGAAAGCACGTTTTCATAGATTAACGTTCTAATGAGCGAGGAAATCTATTTATTTACGATCGCAGAGTTGAGCGCATACCTGATCAGCCATCTTGCTCGTCTGAAAAAGAGCGACGTGAATCGGAAGTGCGCTGTGCGAGAGCAGAGAGAAAGCGGAAAGTGCGGCGGAAGCTTTTAGTGAGAAGAAGTGTCGAGACGCGTGACGACTGGCGACGAGGCGTCGGCGATAGTGGCGGCGACAGGGGCGCACGCCACGGCGACGAGTGACGCCAGTGACGGTCACTTTTAACCTTCAATTTAGTTTTTGTGTAGCTTTGAGTGCAAATTGAATTTTTAAAATAATTTAATTCTTCAGACGTCATATTTGATTAATGCAGTTTTGATGCGGATGTAAGTGTAAATTGTTTGAATATATTTTTCCTAATTTTCATGTTCTTTTTCCTCAGTACGTAAAGAAATTATATTCTAACCTAAAAATGTTTTTGCATTTTGTTGCAGAGATTAATAAATTTGAATTTTGTTGTATATCATATCTTGAGATTCAACATGAATGATGAGGAAGAGTTCCTACTTACAGAAGATAAAGATCGTGTAAGTTTTTTTTCTTTATTTCAATTTTTTATGTTAATTTTATTCAAGATTATTATTATTGAGAAAATATTTGCGTGTGACAATATACTTTGAATTGTTTATGTTTTAGGAACAGATACGGGAGGAATTGAAAAATATGAGTTTTGAGGATTTGCAGAAGTTAAAGGAGAGATTAGGAACCAAGGTGTACAACGAGACCATATTTGGAAAGAGAAGTAAGAAAAAGATGGAGAGAACAGAGTTTAAACGGGAAAACAAGAACAGGCCACGGGAGATTTCTGCCAAAAAACCAATTTCCAGATATAAAGAGTCGACTCGAGTCAAAAAAGCTGTATCTTCTAGAGATCCTAGATTTGATAGTCTATGCGGTACATTTGATAAAAAAGCCTTCAGGCATTCTTATGCATTTATTAATAAATTACGGGAAAATGATCTTAAAACTTTACAAAAAGAGTTAAAAGAGACTACAGATCCCAAAACTGTGAAGAAAATAAAATATCTCATCCAGAGGCTTGAAAATCAGTTAAGGGAGGAAAAGAAAACAAAGGAGCAAGAAGAAAAGAAATGGCAAGAAAAGAAGGAGCTGTTAGAATCTGTTAAACGAGGAGAGAAGCCTACCTTTAAGAAAAAATGTAAGTTGGTCTTATTGTTAACATGATTCTGATTTATTATTATATTAGTCACGAGTCATAGACATAGAATTCCTTGCCGTTTCCCCTGCGCCTAGCAAGTTGATCTCTTGTATCTTGCCAATCTTGCCTGTTATTGGATCACGATCAATTTTTATCTATTATTATTTTATTTTATCTGTTTTCTGCAGCTGAGAAGAAGGTCTTGAATTTAGTCTCGCAGTATGAAGAATTGAAGAATACAGGCAAATTAAAGAAGCATATTCAGAGACTGCAGAAGAAGAACAAACACAAGGATAGGGCAAAATTGAGAGTGGACAAAACAGAGTAAAACATGTATATATATATATGTACAGTACATATACACATTTACAAAAAAAATAAAATAAAATATTGTTTATAATATTGCATGTGAATTTTTTAAGCGAATTATTGATGAGGTATTGTTAAAAACAGCTTTGTGAATAAATTTTTATAATTATTCCTATAAGATTATAAGATTCTAGTAGAGATCCCATAAGTTTGTTCCTAGCTCACTGCACGAAGCCTCAACTCCTTTTATCTTGGTAATGATTAACATTGATTAATTAATTGAATACTGGAAGCAGGTTGCGATATCACCTATTATAGAGATATTGTTTTCTCCAGTTCCATTTACCGACATTTTTCTTATTGCTAAATAAATGACAAATGTCTGATATAATTAGATTATTGACTTATAATTAAGAAAGTGTTTATATGTATCTAAAGTGTAACAATATCGCTTTACATTCTTCTAATTTTAAGTAGAATATTCCACATTTTTGTTAATATTATTGTTAAGGATTATTACAGAACGAACGAATAGATAAATGGATATTTCTTGTAATAAGAAAATCCTGCCTAATTTGCAACTAGAACTATTTCAGATATATATAAATATATCTCTAACAAGTTGTATATTATTGCAGTTAATCAACTGTAAAACTGAAAATAAAAATTAATCCATTTTATAAAAGTATAAAATATATAAGAATTAAGAATGGAGAAAAGTATATGTGTATATACATTGGAAATATGCATATACACATACATGCACTGCAGGTTTAAATGCGGTATCCACTTCCCACTTTATCACATGATTCATTTTACTTCACTACTTCTGGGTTCTCAGCATGGTGACGCTACAATCGTCTACTTCATTTATGGCAGGGGAGTCAGGGGAGTTTGTTTAGAGTTTAGAGTGGTTGGAATGTTTGATGTTTCCGTTTCATGTTTAACCCCTTTATTAATAGGTTAACTCCTATAATCTCTAATATTCAAAAAATATATAATATCCAATAGCTCCAATAGTATAGTTGCTACTATTGGCGAGACTAATTGTTCAATTAATTAAAATTAATTGTATGTTAAGCTTTAATTGTGTTTTCCGAAATTTAAATACTGCATATGTTTACAAACTTGAAATACACATTATTGCTTTATAATTGAATTGAGTGCATTCAATTATTATTTCGGTGCGTCAATTTATGTTGCTATACTAGACATGCAGCAACCTTGATTATATTATATATTTAATATGCTGTAAACAAAGGAGATTTGTGTAATAACAATGGCAGAATCAACGGAGGTAATTATTTAATATTCAAATATGTCTTTTGCTTTTTGTCGTAGCATTTTGTGACTTTAAACATATTGTTTTACAGTTCTTTACTGGGCCTCCACCCATTTGGCCTGACATTAAATCAGAACTTCGGAAATATATTGAATGCCCTGAACGATTACCCATACATCAGTTGGATAGCACTCAGTGTTACTGGCCATACAAAGCGGATGTTCTTTCATTGCTAGAATTCGATTTGGCTCCGGTTAATACCACACTAAAATTCGATCGTGATCCAATAACAGGCAAGATTGGCGAGATACAAGAGATCAACTTGCAAGGCGCAGGGGAAACGGCAAGGAATTCTATGTCTATGACTCGTGCACCCGGGCTGCTTGCAGATGGAGTTCGAGGTACTCTAATTTTTTATCTCGACATTATATTTCTCTTAATTAAAATTGTGATATACTTACCAGTCAAGACATAATTGCAAAACACTGCGTATTGTATATGCGAATGATATATTTTTCGTAGGTAATCCTAGTAATATTCCATTTTGGCCTGGCGGTTTCGAAGAACCTAAAGTGCCTAAGACTGAATGCGTGGACGATATCGACTTTGAGAAGAATCTAAGGACATTGGCCAAAGGATTTAGCTCAGGTTTAGAATTTAAAAGTGACAATTGCACACCCATCAATTGCACAAGAAACGAAACGGAAGCTTCGGAAGTACCTGAAGAAACTGAAAAATTAATACCTAATAACGATAACATAAATTTAATGGCTGTTATACACGAGGAGGGGAATTTGCTCGGTTCGTGGTCTCCAGCTGAGGAGCCGAAAAAGGAGAGCGTACAATCTCTGGACAGCAGCATTCCCTCTGTCGACACTTCCATTTTACCCAATGATACAAATATACCCGTCTTGAAAATATCCGAGAAGAAAGCGGAACTTACAAGGACAGAATGGGCGGAGCAGCTGGATGTGTCCGCGCCAGTAACTGACTTTGACAAGAAAATACCTGACCCGGCAATCGCATTCAGCTATGAACTGGACACTTTTCAGAAGCAAGCTATTCTCAAATTGGAAGAGAACAGCAACGTCTTCGTAGCCGCGCACACATCAGCTGGGAAGACTACTGTTGCTGAATATGCCATTGCATTGAGTCAAAAGCATATGACGAGGTAAAGCTATAAGGTCAAAAATTTACTTTGCACTACTATTGTTATAACTAGCTGGATAGTTTTCTAATAATCATCCTTTATTGCAGAGTGATTTATACGTCTCCCATAAAAGCACTGTCAAATCAGAAATATCGTGATTTTAAGAGAAAATTTGATAGTGTTGGGTTATTGACTGGTGATTTGCAAATAAATCAAACTGCCTCATGTCTAATCATGACAACAGAGATCCTACAGTCAATGTTGTATTGCGCATCCGATGTCTTACGAGATCTTGAATTTGTCATATTCGATGAAGTGCATTATATAAATAATGAAGATGTGCGTAATGCTGATTTTACAAAAATGTCGCGTACAATTCCTGCGATTCGACAATTCTGTATTTATAAAAACTGACTCGTATTTTTAGAGGGGTCACGTATGGGAGGAAATAGTCATTCTTTTGCCACAGAATATTAATATAGTGATGTTATCTGCGACCGTGCCAAATCCAATAATATTCGCGGATTGGGTCGGTCGCATCAAGAAGCGAAAAATGTATGTAATTAGCACGTTGAAGAGACCAATACCTCTTTTACATTACTTGTATACTGGCACTGACGGTAAGACTAAGGATGACAAATTCTTGGTTCTTGATAGTAACGGCCAATTTTTATTGGATGGGTAAGTCGCTTCTCTTCCTGTCTTTATACGTCTTTGAATAAGAGAAAGAAAGGCACAATGCTGACATAGTGATGTTTTAATATTCGACAATCTAGATGGTACAAAGCGACAAATGCGTCTGACAAGAAGAAAGACAAAACCCCGAAGGACTCTAGGAGAAAAATTCAAATGACACCGAAGCAAGAAGAAGTATTGTGGAGAGCATTTGTGAGCCACCTTCAAAATAATGTACGCTATCATATCTACATACTACTGTCTCTATTGTTCAGAAAAATTGTGATAATTATTTTTTTATGCTATCAATTTCACAGGATATGTTACCCGTCGTCGTATTTACTCTATCGAGGAAGCGCTGTGATATGAACGCTGCCACGTTGAGAAATCTCGATTTAACGACCGCGAGAGAGAAGCATCAGGTGCACATATTTTTCCAGCATAACATAAAACACCTGAAGGGTAGCGACAGAGAATTGCCGCAAGTACTTATGATGCAAGAGCTCCTGGAGAAGGGCGTGGGTATACACCACAGTGGGATATTGCCAATTTTGAGAGAGATCGTAGAAATGTTATTTCAAAATGGAGTTGTCAAGGTAATTTCATTAAGAAGCGCTGAAAAACAACAAGGCTAAGTTAATGCCGATATAACAAAATTATAGAATTAAAGGAGATACAACAGAATTGTGTTCTTTTTTTTTTAGTTACTATTCGCAACGGAAACTTTTGCCATGGGAGTCAACATGCCGGCGCGCACGGTGGTGTTCGATTCCATACGAAAGTACGACGGGAACAACTTTCGCACTCTGTTCCCGACCGAGTACATACAGATGGCCGGCCGCGCCGGACGGCGGGGTCACGACACCACCGGTACTGTTATAGTGATGTGCCGACACGACGTGCCGCACTTCAACGACTTGAAACCGATGATGTGCGGCGAGCCGCAAACGTTGGAGTCGAAGTTCAAAGTCACGTATTCCATGCTTCTGAATTTGAGAAGGGTGAACGAGTCCGTTACCGTTGAGGCGATGATGCGCAAATCGTTCAAGGAATCGCCTCTGGCCTCGCAGGAAGTGACGTACAACAACGAGCTACGGAAAATCGAGCGCGAACTATCGAACTTGCCGCCTTTGACCGAAATGCAAAGGAAGCTCTCGATGTTCTATCAACAGGCGGTCGATTATCTGGAGGACGTCAAGTTCCTGAGCTCTTATATACTCGACTCGAAGAAGGCAGCGAAGAGTTTAACCGAGGGCAGAGTCCTATTGATATCGTACGCGAATCATTACAATAAACTGGCCATGTTGCTGCAAGTTCTGTATCACAAGAGCTCCACTCAGTACAAAGTCTTGGTACTTAAGGACGCGTCCACTTCCGGAACGGCTGATTGCGAGTTCAAAAGTCCTCAGATATTCGAGAAATGGTGCGAGATTATCGGCCTGACGAAGAAAGAGATATTTGTACCAAGCGTCAATCCGTCGCACGAAGTTGTGACTCTGTCTCCATGGCATATATTGAAGATAACTAATCATCAGATAAAAATTGACTGCTCTTTGGTGCTGAACGATTGGGAAAAGAGGCAAATCTCACGATTCAAGTAAGAAATAAATAATATAGCGAAGTAGTAAAAATTCTCGGAGCGCATCCTGCACTTATCGATTATTCTTTTCTTTCTAGAAACGATCCACCGGGACAAACGTGTCAGACAGCGGTTCAAGAATTGATGTCTTTATCATTTAACGCTTCTACCAACGCTAAGATTCTACAACCGTACATCGAGCCCTCATTGAAAAATGATTTTCAGTTGAGGATACAACATAGAAACAAATTAAAAGCCAATCTGAAGGACATGAAGTGCATGGAGATACCAAATTTTGAAGAGCAATTTAAACCCGTGTTCGAACGAAATCAACTTGAAGATAAAAAGCGGCAGCTGCAGCTTAAACTCAGCGACGAGGGGATGGCGTTGTATCCGGATTATATGAATATGGTGGCACTCCTCAAACATTTTAGATACATAGATAACGACGAAAGAGGTTTGTATTAAAAATATATAATAGTTATAGTTAAATTTATATTCAATATTTATTTATTAAAAATACATAATTAATAATCGTATCGTTTATTATTAGTCGCCCTCAAAGGAAGAGTCGCGCTGCAAATGGGTAGTAACGAGCTACTGATAACAGAATTGATTCTCAAAAATGTGTTAACTGTCTTACAACCGGCAGAAATAGCAGCTTTGCTATCAGCATTGATCTTCCAGCAACGCACGGAATACCAGCCTCAACTCACGCCAAATCTTACTAACGTACGTATCATTGATCATATCATTTTTTCTTTTTTAATACATTAATCAAGTATTTAAAAATTTGTACCTTACAATGAGAGATTAAAACAATCCTCTCGTTTTCCTTCAGGCTTGCAAGATAATGAGCGACGTGCATGCGGAATTGGAACAGCTAGAGCAATACTATCAACTGTCGACATTGCAGCCGTTGAATTTCGGCTTGGTGGAGGTTGTCTACGAATGGGCGCAGGCCAAGTCGTTCGCCGAGATTATGAAGATGACGGATGTCCAAGAGGGAATTATAGTCCGTTGCATACAGCAACTCGGTGAAACATTGCGCGATGTTAAAAATGCGGCTGTGACCATAGGTGATCCGATTTTGAAAGAGAAAATGGAGGAAGCCTCGACCGCGATCAAGCGCGACATAGTTTTCGCAGCATCCTTATACACCCAAGACTGAATGAGTTATTTAACTCTCGATACTATCGACAAAATCGATGTATTTTTTTATATAAAAAAAAACCAACCAAGTGGATGGCTGCAAATACATTCTATTTATAAAAAAATATTCTACCATTCGTGAGAATGTAAACAATTTTTGCAATTTTTTTCGGTTATAACAATAAAAATAAATCAGATAAACACTATTATTATATTTCGAATGCTTATGGATAATCAAATATACTAATTCGTAAATATAACTCGTATTAACTTTGAAATTTGCTAAAAGATACTCGATATCAAACAAACCGTATTAATTTACAACGCTTATGTGCATATTATTTTACATGTTGAAGCGATTATTACAACACGCGTTGATCTGGATTGTTAAGATTCCCCTGATCTTTGTTCAATTCCGAGATGCACGCCCACTGTCCCTCGGAATTTTCGCGCCACAGCGAGACTTTGTTATCCCCGCCGCTGACCGCTAGGATACCGCCTGTCAACGACCAGCTGACATTCCAGATAACGTCGTCGAAGACGTTGAGAACGTTCGGTGTCCAACTGGCGTAATCGTTGGAAGTCCACACGACGACGCGGCGATCTTGCGAGCAAGACGCCAAAGCGGCTCGAGATGGGCCGACTGCCGGTGCCCAGGCGACATCGCGAACCTTTTATAAGTACAGAGATGCGTAAATACGTAAGTATCCTGTGGATACTTAAATATTTTCAATATAATTAAATTGTACCCAATCGCTGTGCGCCTCCAGTTTATTCTCTTCGATCCATCTGTCGCCGTCCTCCTTCCATATCTTCACTAAGTTGTCGCAACCACCAGTGGCTAACCGCTTGACGGGATCGCTCCTCTGTTGACTCACGTTAGGATCGACGCCCGAATCGACCGCTGGACACCAGCTGACCGCGTTGCACCCGATCGTATGAGCGTTCGTTATCTTCTGCATCTGCCAGGTGTCTCCGGTGTTTGCGAGGATGGAGACCGATCCGTCGGAACTCCCGCAGGCCAGGATCAGGCCGAACTCGTGCGGCGCCCACGCGACCGAGTTGACAGAGGAATCGTGACCGGTATGCTCGTATATTTTGGTCCACTCTCCCAGTTCCTTCCAGATAATCACTTTCCTGCAAAAGTGTACAAACGTCGACTGCGTACCTCAAATATATCTGATAATAATCAGACATATTTCAGGTGTTATTAAATTATTAGATACACTTAATTATTAAGCGCAACATTTCTACGGATGTACGTGAGTGAGCGGCATCGTGTGTGTAGCCGCGCGTACCTGTCGTAGCTACAAGATGCCAGGAGATTGCCGAATTTCGGGTGGGCCCACGCGACCTGCCACACGGGGCCGATGTGTCCCTTGAGAACGGCGACCAGGCTCTGAGTGCCGTTCTTCAGGTCGAATATCTTCACCGAGTTGTCGCTCGAGCAAGTGGCTAACCTCAAACCGTAGTAATCCATTTCCGCATCGTGGATCATGTCCTCGTGGCCGGTGTCGACGGTATTTAAAACGGACACCATTTTGACGAGGTAAACTACCGCGGGCGAGTCGCTTCAATTCGCGCGAAGAGACCGCCTGGGGAGTAAAGGCGAGAGTGAGTCGCGCGGGTAAGGGTGCAGGTTATGTCGCGCTCCTGTCACCTACGTGGAAGCGTATACGCGACAGCCGCCGCCGACAGCGCGACCTGAAGTCGAGTTCGGGTACTCCGACACGTTAACGACAATCGATTCGATGATCGACTGCGCATGTTTCGCGCGCGCTAGCAATTCGTGTTCCCTGGGTTAGGTGCGTACCGTAATGTGATGAGTGATGACGGTATTGCGAAAATCTGAAATCTGTGATTCACGTTATGTATGCTGCATCAATCGACATGATCCACGACGCGGAAATGGATCACTACGGTTTGAGATTAGCCACTTGCTGTTGCGGGCGACAACTCGGTGAAGATATTCGACCTGAGGAACGGCAATCAGAGCCTGGTCGCCGTTCTCAAGGAACACATCGGTCCCGTGTGGCAGGTCGCGTGGGCCTACCCGAAATTCGGCAATCTCCTGGCATCTTGTAGCTATGACAGGTACATTTTAGAACAGATCTCTCTCTCTCTCTCTGTTTCTCTCTCTCGCTCTCTCCTCTCCTCTCCTTCCCCCCCCCCTCTGTCTCTCCTCTCCTCTCTCCCTCTCT